ACACGATATTCCCTCAGGTTCGGTTGTATAATTTCCAACTCTCACTCAATGTGCGACAGTTGAGAAATTGCCTTATCCAGTCTCATGCCTTACCCAGAATTCCCAGTATCTGCATTTTTAGATCTAGAAGCTGATGACTGACAGAGTTGAAAGCTTTGCTGAAATCTAGGTAGCAAACCTCCACCTAGCGACCTGCGTCTATTCTTTCTGTAACTTCGACTAGAGTGCCAACATTTTGATTATACACGACTGTTTCTCAACGAATCAACGCGGGGCTTGAACCAGAAGTAATTGCGCAATCAGATCAGAAAAAATCTGTTTCCTGACTATCCGCTCGAGACACTTGCAGAAAACTGAGGTCAAACCTATTGGCCTATAGTTGGAAACATTGTGTTTGGGGCCTGACTTGTAGATGACCACTACGGTTGCAGTTTTCCAGTCTTCTGGGGGCCTGCAAGTGCTGATGGACTCCTTAAATAGCTTAGTTACCGGTCCCGCTAATGCGTTTGCTAGAGGATGAATCACAACAGGATGCAATCCATCCGGTCCTGCTGCTTTATACCTATTTAAGGCGTTCAGATCTCGGACCACATTGTTGTCAGAGAGATTGAACTCTGTGAATTGCTCCCTTGTTCTAGCTAGGCTGCAGTCCACAGTCTGCTCTGCCGTTGGTGGCCGAGGAATTCCCTTGAAAAAGGTAAGTAGTGAATTCGCTTTTCCCTGGTCGGTCGTGGTCATTACACCTTCGGTTATCACCTATTCCCTCCTTATTGTTTTTCTTCGCGTGTACGTTTCCATAAAACCTTTTGTGGTTGTGCATTACGTTTTGCGCTCACGTTCTTCGCCTCCTTTTGAAGGGCTTATGCTCTGTTGCGTGCCCTTTTGTATAGCGACCACGCATTGGCAGTCTGGTACGCCATAAAGCGGGCCCAGCAACTCCTCCGGACCACTAGCGCCTGATCTAGCTGTGGCTTCCACCANCGTTGCCTGTTGCTCCTAGGTTTGAAGGGTACAAACCTATCGGTCAGTCAAAGCAGCCCTACCTTAATGACAGATCATTGCTCTTCTAATGTTGGCTCAGGAGCTAGTGGTACCCAATCTACGTGCTCCGCGGCGTCTTGTAGCGCAGTAACTTTCATACGGCTATAGCACCACGGGGCAGCCGGTTTTCTCTGTTTCATTGGTAATACTAAACTAAGTAACCCATGACCACTCTTGCCCAGTAGAGTCTCCACTGCTACCTAACTCATGTCCAATAAATACTGCCTTATAAATAAGTCCAGGACAGAGGACTGTGTTCGTTGCGAAACCTTGTAGCCTGCATAAATATGCTGAATGAGCGCATGCTCATGTAGCTCCGTTAGGAAGCTTTCTCCCTTTGTCCCAACGGGAGCCTCTCCCTCTACCCGGCAGATCTCCAAAAAAATTGAAGTCACCCAGAACTAAGATCTTTTGGATCCTCAGTAGGAATTACTACATTGTAGGAAGTAGTTCCAGATCTTCTGTGGGTTTCGCCTGGGGTGCACGATAGACTAGTATTACTTCTAACGATCGTCTTCTCAAGAGGATACTACACGCCTTGGATTGAATATTAGGCGTAACCGATTTTACTGGCAATTCCCATTGAGTCTGAGCGGCTTTCACCAGAAGGAGTACTTTTCCATTTTGTCTGTCAACAACTCTAACTTGCCTGTAAGCCGATTACTCTGGGCTTCTCTACATCTTGCTCATGCCGCATCCAAGTTTCAGTGATAGCTATTATCACCAAGTTTTGGGCCTCTGTCGCGTCCCAATTTTTCTCTAACACCGCAGGCGTTACTGTTTCACACTGTGACGGTGTCCACGCCCATTTTAATATAACCCTCCTCTATTGATTGGGGTGGATCCTCGAACGTGAGGACCGAGGAGCTATTACGTATTTTGATACCATTGTATTGATCGACCTGTGAAAATCCTTCCTGTAAAGCCCAGTCATTCCATCTCGGTTTCACATTTCGTGAATTTTACGTTCCATTCACCAAACCTCATCCGCCTCACATACATATAGACATTTGACGTTCCACTCCCCTTGTATATTTACACATCGATCCTACCATTTGACTTGGTTTGTCTATCTGCTTCAATTTTTATCCNTTCCATTCAGATTTGTTGAATTACGCTCACGGTAACACTTGGCTCTTGTTTTCAAGTTGTTTCGAGATCACTTTGAGATTTGTACAGTTTTATTTGCTCATTTGATTGTTTAATAATGCAGTACCGTAGACATTTGTCGGATCGTTCGTTTTGTTGACGCTTTGGGATCCAATTTCGGCTACGCGTCGCTCGTTGATCTATTTGGGAGTTACAACCATATTTGCGGGTACCGGGCAATCAGGCTCCGTGAACGACCAGGGTATACCCCCCACAGACTTCGTTATGTCTTTGAGGGTTAACCGGGATTTCTAACCGAGACTTTTCTTGGGCGCTTGTTGCCTTCTAAGCAGGGATAGTGTTCTACTCAGAGGAGTGTCCTGGGTATTTCTTGCTACCACTGTGGTCCAACTAACGGATGCTGATTTCGCCTCGCTATCAGCAACCGTAGACTCACCCATCTTTTTAACTCCCTCAGCCTTGGATGGCTCCAACGGAATGGTCTTTGGTGGGCCGTCTGCTCTTCTGTTATCTGCATTCTTCCCAAGGACTCCAACTCGAGACTCCTCTGGCTCTTTCTTCTCTCTTCTTTTATCATCTTCTGGCCCCTCTGGTTTGGGTTTTAGGGCTGTGAACTTGCCCAACGTTGATCCAGCTAGTAGAGTTTGTTGGATCATCATGCGTTGGCACACCCCAAATACTCCTACTCCGTGCGCCACATTGGCGGTGAGTTTACCCAGAATAACTCTGGCTTCTTTTGTTGCTTTATTTCTGTTGCAGAAACAATGGGGATGACGTACCGCTGGGCGTGATGAACTGCATCAGGGGTAACTTTGATGCACCCTCTGGTGTGAATCTCCACTGCAACACCCCCAGTGAGTAGAAGGTTCCGGCTATACGTACTGTAAAATACTAGAAGTATAGCTCTAGGTATGGCTGTCTGGATTTGCCTCCACAACACAACCCTGTGGCACTTGATGTAAGGGTGTTGGCCGGCATACCCACCAGTCGTAAAACATCTTGAACGGGTTTGTGATTCTTCTCTCCTCGCGCTTAAGCATAGCAAATCGTTGGCTCCGCAAAGTTATGTAGCAAGAAGTTTTTGGTTCAACCCATTAGCGCTTGAGTGCTGCTTTGCATCTCCTGAAGATCTGTCTTCAACTGTTCTATACGAGCAGTCACTTTATCAACTGTAATTGTTTAATCGTAGCCCCTTTACGTGGTTTCTTTTCCTTGGTGTTCGTGATTTTCTCCTTTTCATTGTTTTCCTTCGTAATATGTTTAACGCTTGATTTCACCACCTCCACCTGCTTCGTCGCTGGCCTCGGCGCGCGAGTATTTGAGGTTTCAGGTGACTTAGTAATCACAGCTCCTACTTAAGCTCCTTTCAGAATGCGCGAGCATTCCACTACCAGAGCCTCGCAGTGTATGCATAACCCATTCAATGCTCCATGTTGAAGATGCCGCGCATAGCACTGCTTCGACAGCTTGGAGCATTTGTCATGGTACCACAAACCACATCCATTGCACTATATACCATTGCTAAACACCCTACCACAACCACGGGCTCCACAGGATGCTGAACCATGGCTGTTCTGTTACCAGTGATTTCAAATCAAGCATCATACAGGAAAAGCAATATAAAGAAAATGGACACTAAAGTCTTCAGTCTTCAGGATTGAGGACAGAGGGCAGGGTGCCCCTGTAAGCCCCATCACCATTGGGTCGAAGATCCGATCACAATTTTTTGTTCCTCAATAGCCCCTTTAGGTGCTCACCCAGACGCCGGCTGAAAGCAGCGTGTCTTCTCTTCCACCACAATCGCTGGAAAGGAATTCCAGAGTGCTGTTGACCTACACGAGAGTCGGTAGACTAAGGAAGACCAACTGACTGAAGTTTCCGCAACGTGAGAGA